CTCGAGGCGAGGGGTGAGACGCCGGGCTCCACGTTCTCTCACAAAGCAGCGCCTCCTTCATCGTCGTCTTTAGAATGCTCGATCGGCCGGCCACGGGGGAGGGGCGAAGGGAGGTGTCGCTGAAGTCAGGCATATCCGTGGGCAGCCCTGCCTGCGGTCAGGACCCCGAGGTTGGGAGGACACTTCCGGAGACGGCCGCCAGGCGGCGCCCGGAGTCAAAACTAAAGTGTGTGTGGGGAAGCGACCTGATGGGCGGAGGCTTTGCAAAGCCCTGAATGGGTGGCAAGGTCTGTTATTCAAGCAGATGAACGAAATCAACAGTTCCTTTGGTGGGTGTGGAAGCCTAGATAGCCAGAGTGTGTGTGATACAGAAAATGAGGAGTCTGCTTCCACCCTTGCCTTAATGGGGCTTAAGAATTAAAGGCAAGTTGCTGCCATTCCGTCCCCGAGTCCAGTGAACCTATGTGTCCAGTGTACCCAGGCCTCCCTCGTGCTTCCTTTTGAATAGATTTACCGGGTAAGCTGTTTTCCTGATTTGACAAATGATCAAAGAGCTATCATTCTCCATAAAAAAAAAAAAAATAAGAAAAAACGGTGGCATCAGTTTAGAATTACATAGCCAGGCTGCCCATGGGACTGCTGCCTCCTGTTTCCTCGAATATAATTTCTAAGGTACTTTTGCCTAACCCAGTAACTAGTTAACCTGCTCATTTTCAAGTGAGCAAATAAAGCATTTCCCTACAGGAAATACGTTGGCTAAAATTCAAAAGCCAACGCTGGGCATAGAGGCGCACTGTTGTAGTACCAGCACAGGGCAGGCAGATCTCTGAGTTCGAGGCCAGCCTGGTCTACAAAAGGAGTTCCAGGACAGCCTGGGCCATACAGAGAAATCCTGAATTGAGAACAAACACAAAAAGGCAAGAAGACAGAGTTTCTGCATTTGTTAATTTGCCTGGCTGTGTACCTCACCCCACCCCACCGCCCCAAAAGGGAAACGCAGTATTACAGTTTTGCTTTAAATTAAAAAAAAAAAAAAAGCCTGTCAGTGGTGGTGCAGGCCTTTAATTCCCAGGACTCAGGAGGCAGAGGCAGGTGGATCTCTATGTGGCCAGCCTTGTCTACAAAGCAAGTTCCAGGACAGGCTCCAAAGCGACACAGAGAAACATTGTCTAGAAAAACCTAAATAAATAAATAAAAGTGGGCTCTGCTTAGTGGGTCAAGACTATAATCCCAGCTACTCTTGAAAATAAAAGCAGGAGGGACAGCAAGATCAAGGTCAGCCAGCTTAGTGAGACCATATCTGAAAACAAAATAAAAACAAGGGCCATGGATGCTGCTGGGTAGAACACTTGCCTGGTATGCTGGAAACCCTAGCTTCAATTCCTAATGCGGGGAGGTGGGGATGATGTGGCCACAGTAACACCATTCAGTTGACTCAAATCTGCACTGAAAAACGGAAGAAGTAACAAATCCAGGCAGACGAGAATGCAGTGAAAGGCAGGGTGGAACCCAATACACAGTCTTTCTGATTCTCACAGCCTTTGTGATCAAATTTATTAAATTGGCCCCAGAGAGACTTCTAAAATGGAGAACACTTGTTTTGGGTCCCATTCATTCTGACATCTCCCATTTACTACCTTGTTTTAATTAAGTCTTGGTTCTCTTTGTAAGAGATATTTCCTCTGTGTAAAATGCAAGAATTTCCAGAATGCAATGCTGGATGCGTTTCCCAGAAGTCCCAGGATCTGAAACCCCTTCCCAGTAAGAAGAGTCTTTCTTCAAGCTCATCCTCAGTAGAGGTTTGCAGAGGGGTCTCTCCTGCAGAGGATGAGGTCAGTGTGGGGGGAGTGTGTGTGTGTGTGTGTGTGTGTGTGTGTGTGTGTGTGTGTGTGTGTGTGTGTGTGTGTGTGTGTGTGTGTGTGTGTGTGTGTATCCACCCGCTGTTGGAGTTGGATCACCTCTACTATCTTAACTCCACGTTGAGGGACTGGAGCTCCCATTAGTAATGCTATTCACAAAGCAAAGGGGGGAAAATGAAGGGCAACATTTTTGAAATCAGAATTCATTGATACAATGAATCAAAAAGTAGTTGGTTTTGTTACTAAATGGTTACAAGAAGCTGGGCCCTTCTCTTGTAATCTTGCTTGCTTTTATTTCTGTCTCCCTGATTGCTTGTCCTTCGTTAATAGTCATGGGTTTCTGTTGTATGTGTATAACAAAGACACAAACCTGGGTGATGACAGTTACCCCTTTTCTTCCATGGAGACAGCAGAGCTGGCCCAATGAGCAATTTATGTATTAAATGCTCTTCTGGAACAGGGAAACTACATTTTAAAAACCCTTTGTGACTTTAGGCTTGGCCAACTTTTATTCTTTTATTTATCTATTTATTTATTTGTTCCATAAGCCAACTTTGCCTATAAAGCCTAAGTTTTCTTCAAAATCAAGTTTCACCCCTTAAAGTCCACCACTGCTTCTCTCCCTAATATGGTACTCAGTCAGTCTGCTTAGTAAATACCTACCTCAGAGTTTGACCTGAAACTCAAACCCTGGAGCCCTGTGTTCACAACTTCAGGCCTTCTCAGGAAGCCTCTGTGTTCCCACCATCCAGATTTTAAGGGTGCCCAGTGGTTGGGATGAAGTTTGATTTGCAAA